AATGTGCCATTGAGCGATACTCTAGATAGAGTGTAGAAAATTTATTGTAACTTATATGTGTATATAAATATTTTTTATAGTTAAATATATGTTAAATGGGGATTATTCTCTCTATTCTTAAACATGATGTGTATATATGTATATACACATTTCGTTTCATTATATTTCATTGCAATGTTGTGTAGCGGGATTAGATTATTAATTAAAAAATTTATATAAAGAGACAGAATGAACCTCTAGTAAGTAATATAGGAGATAGGGGAAATCAGTAAAAATTAATATTTTGTAGTTTTTTAATTAAATCACAGAATAACACGATAAATATAAGCTATTTTCCCGTTATGTTTCTTACAAGACTCAGTTTAAAGTCAAGGATACATTTCTATAAATGTGAAATTGATCGTAAAAAAATATGAAAAAGAGGAAAAATAATATGTATCGCATTATGTCGTACAAATCGGTATAGCGGTATGATAAAATCATAGTTTACAATATTATATAGCAATATATTTGAATTTCAAGCGAGAATAATTGTTATGATATTAATATAACAAAGCATGTCATTAACTTCGACTTTAAACTTACCTCCTTTGAAAATATGAAAATTCATTATGTACATCGAATTATATAATGTTTATATTATGAATATATATTTATTGTTTATTTATCATAAAGATGGCGACATATACATGATATATTTCGAACATGTACATTTTGAATTTATAAATGCAATGGTGAGTTGTTAAATTTGTTTCCGAAGTGGAGTATCATTATAGTGTGAAAGAAAAGAAAAAATGAGACTCACACAAGATGCTGTGTTATAGACATTGATGTTTCAATTAATGGTATTGTGACATGATATACACGCATAATATGGAACTTCCGTATAGAATGCGCGTTAGATAATATACGTTATTTGTCTACTTGTCTCACCATCTAGTGTCTGTGGCCTGCAGGCATGATTTGTCAGTACATAAGTTCATAAAGCTGATATGAAGCTCGCCATTATGGAGAAAGTAACGTTGAAATGTAGTCGAATGAAGAGAAAAGAAGTATAATCAGTGCATCTATCTCCTTTCAGCGAGACCAACTTTCCTGAATCTGAACCTGAATCTCAACTCATTGACACGTCTTCAACAATCTACCTCTGCCAAGTGTAGGTGACACTCGTCGTTGATCGTCCTTTCAAACTTTATTCTTCAACTAAGTTTAAACGTTGAAAGAAAATTAGAATAGAATGACAAACAATTGAACAAGGAGAATTCTAATGTAATATAGTTTGAAAGGATGAACCACTCGGTCAACATGTTTGTAGTTTGGGTTTTTTGTTTCAACCATTAAAATTAGTGTAGTGTACCGATAGTATTTGAATTTTGTTTTATATTTTAAGTGTGTTTTATTTTAGATGGTTTATGATCACAATCACCATTTGAATTGTTAGTACTGCACCTAAAGTGCAGTATATATGTAATGTGTACACACGCACATATATGTATTATATACATATACGTATATATGTATATGTATACATATGTATACGTTAAATATTTATTACTTATAATTATTCCCTGTGATCATTGTAATTTATTTCTTTATTTCAGATTATACATTCTACACTTTTACTGTCTAGATTATATGATCTAAATTCAAAATTATTAACGATCCGTCTCAAACTTAAAAATATTCATATATAAATACATATAATTGACAAATGAATGATATCAATAAATAAGCGTGGAATGTATAAAAATGATTTATTATTTTTAGGAAAAGCATGATCCTTCGCATTTAAATGTACATCAGAACCGACCTGGCACCTTTTGATATATAATAACGTTTCTGTAAACCCATCAGCATCCAATAATATCTGTTAAAATAAGGAAAGCGAGCAAAAATAATTATTCTGTAAAGTTAATGACAAGATAAAGTTATTAGAATGGCCAGATCGGCCCTGATGCTTTGTATATTGTATATAACAAAAGATTTTTATAATTCGTCATGTATTATCAATTTCCTGTTGGTCGTAGCATCTCCGAATATGGTTAGCAGTAAACTGGGTCCTCGTATGACCACATTACACGAAGAAACTTCAAATATGGGAAATCAAGCGTGTACTCCTATCAATGATGACGATGAGGAGAAGAGCGACGCCGATTATTCTGAATATGAGGCATATCAGGTAGTGTATATTTGAAATTAAAGATATATTTATTTAAAAACAAAATTAAATCACAATAAGAACAATGTGTTTATAAATTATGATACTTGAATTATTGCATCAATTAGAATCGATCACTTTGTAATAATGTACATGTAATTACGCTATCGAACCAAAGCTGTATTACATGCATTTACGCTTAGGCTCCTCCGAAACCGGTAAAACCACTAACTTCTTCACGCACGTTGGATTCTCTGGTCGAACTACAATCGACGAAGATCAATACGCCAAGTATGAGTAGTAGCGGGTACGGTTCTCAGGCTGTTTCCACGACAAACCTGACGTCGGAAGATTCCATTTCTATCAAGTCCATCAGCGTGGATGAGACTCCAGACCTCGAATATCGTAATCTTCTCGATAGTAAGAAACCTGAAAAAATGGACAGTTCCCTCGTCGAAGAAACGCCCGAAGAATACTTGAGCGAAATAAACTCTACATTGGATAACTTGAACATCTCGCAAAGCGCTCGCGCAGAAGGTCAGTTAAGTCAAATGCAAAACAGTCATTTTAGATATCGATATTCTGTTGTAAATACATACTTTTTATCTTGTAGAACATACTAAAAAAAATTTGGAAGAAATAGGAACATATATAGATACCGATATCGATAGTCCAGTTTCTTCTACAAGGAGTGAAAGCGAAACCAACAGCAACATGTTTCACGTCGAAACTCAAAGAAAAAGTACGCCCAATCAAATTCTCAGTGATAGAAAAAACGAGATGGAAGTCAGTCAGATGTCCAATTCGGGAGACGATAGTCCCATGGAGGGAACTTCAATCGTACATACCAAACTGCCCCCTGGCAAGGTGAGTATTTTATATCTTTTATATTTAAGAAAGACAGAGAAAGATCGTTATTCGAAAAATTATCATGAAAATTCCAAAAAATTTTCTCGTGGATTATGTAATAAATGATTCATATTTAATTAATTAGGTCGTGCGAAGAAGAAAGACTTCTAATGGTTCAGGAAGGCCTACCAGTTCGCAGCATAGAGCTTCATTTCCTATGGTCCGTCCACAACTTTCTGAGAGTAAGGCTGCAGTACATTTGGAGCAAACGCTACAACCTACTATGCCGTATGAAAATGGCGACAATAGCTCTTCGGAGAGAATTGACGGTACTACTAGTTTAAGCAATTACATTTGGCACAATTTTTTGCATATTTTTTAACATTACATTTATTTTTTGAGAAATTATACACTATATGATTCTTCTTTTTGTATTACATTTTAAAAAGATTTCTTTTGCAGCAGATGACATTAGCGATAAAAGTTCAGCGTTTGGTTCAAGGCACGATTTAACTCGAGTGGAAACTCCCCTACCAGACTGGATCGTCGTTGGAGAATCAGTTTTGGTTCGCCCTTATAGTTATTCCGGAGTTATAGCATACGTTGGTCCTACAGAGTTTGCATCGGGAATCTGGATAGGAGTTGAACTCGATGCTCCGACTGGTACAATCTCTCTCTCTCTCTCTCTCTCTCTCTCTCTCTCTCTCTTTCTGAAATTTTGTCTAGATTGTCTATGTTTCACTGTTATAGGCAAAAACGATGGTGCTGTCAATGGCCATAGGTATTTCACATGTCGACCCAAATGTGGTATATTCGTTAAAATGGATAAGTTAATTCAAGACAGACGAGGAAGAGCGCTTAGAAGTTACACCAAACAAGAATCGACACCAGCACCATCTACATCAATGCGCAGGAGTATTAGCAAGGGTAATTTCAAAACAATTATCTTATTGTATCGACTTGTACATGTTTGCTGTTAAAATGATATTTATTGGAATTATTTTTTTTATTGGAAATATTGTCTTTTAGGCGAAGGATTACATTCCTTGCACCGAAGTCGCAGTCGAGGGGAAGGTCTCTCTACTACAGGTACACGTTCTTTTCCACGCGGCAAGTAAACGGATCACACACTGCTTCACCATTACTTCGTGTTAATAAAAGCCACAACATAAATATACTAATTGCTACATGCCTATATGATATATGTAGCAGCAATGTTTCAGTCCTTTAGACATTAGGGCAGCTATTGATTATTGAAATTACTTATACAGTAATATTTCAAATATTAAATCATTAATGTGTACTACACACGAAGCATGGGATATTTTCAACTCGTCATGTCCTATGAGTAGCGTATCCATTTCGCTACTTGACTAGGGGATAGGGAAGTAGGGAAAGGGAGGGAGTAGTATAATTGACCCGTGCATAATTGTCGCCATGTATCGAAAGTCAGTTGCGACGTTTATTGACTAACGAGCATTCCACAAGTTTACTTTAATGACTGGTATTACGAACCATTTATATTTTATGCCAGAGGAAGGCAATATATCTTGCGATTTAATTGTACATTCTAAACTAATCAAAAGTCAGCAGAACATCTTTCCTTTATTCTTGATATGTCACTCTAAAATACACAATAACTACAATTTGATGTACATATTCCACCTAATAATATTTTGTATTTGTGAAATCGGTCTGTGTCGACACAATAGACGCGATAATAATAATATACCGATTAAATCTTGGCGTTTTTACAAATCATTGGACGATACACTTTCCAAAATTACCATATGGTAATTTATAGGTCGGAAAAGTGCCCAATGAAAGGACAAATGTCGGAAAGCATTTTGCATACATATATATTTTACCGTTATGTAGATTATTTAAAGATTTTATATGTATACAATTGTTTCGTATATTGTATTTTTTTAGCGCGATTCGTTAAGTTCCTTTTTATTGTAACATACATCTCTTGTCACCGTTATCCCATCACGTGAACATGACACATCTTATTTATATATATTACATTCTAACTGCATATTGCATTTTTGGAAATTGCAAACTGATTCTTAAATGTCCTTATTAATTGATTTAAGAGCAAATTGCAAATCCAAAGATACAATAACTACTAAAGTTGCAATATTAAGTTCATAGATTTAAGTAGAAACTAAATAAATGAGCTTGTTTCATTGTATCAGTTGCATATAATGCTATATTCATCCAGACTTTTTATGACTTGGGCTATTTCACGTTATTTCCCTTTATTTACGCCAGCATAAACGTTGAAGCGAATGATTAATATATATATTTCATATCTTGTAACATGATTTGTTCGTTAATGAATTTTTCCCATTTTGAGTATTAAATTTGGTTTCATTTAAAAAAAAAACCCATTACGTCGCGTCTTGCGTGAAATCAAACGGCGGAAACTAATTAATTCATGAAATATAGATTGTGCCGTAAAGGAATATGAAAAAGACAAAAAGTAAGCAATTAACATTTAAGATAACTCATACATTTGCCCAAATTGTGAAAACAGCTCCTGTCCAATTAGAACAATACTTATATTACCAATAATGAGTATATTACTGTATGTGTAATATTTATGGATAATATAATAATAATAATAATAATAATAATAATAATAATAATCGCTGCTGCGCAATGTTTCCTTATCGTGGCAGACAATTTCTTCGGTTTTTATGTACGTAAATAACAATTACCTCTGCGAGAAGGAAACCTTGCAACCAGCAGCACCTGTCCATTTTTAGTAATCAAGATTGTTGAGAAAGAAACAAATTAAGAGTCCATGTGTCACAGTGATACTACATGCCTGCCCGGCATAACGTTAATAAATTTTACAATCTTTAATCATTACGCGTCTTCGGTTTTTGGTATAATGCAATTGATTGACACTTGCATTCCTTTCAACGAATTGAAACTCGTATATCACCTGTAAAGCAAGATTTACTCTTGCTCTTCCTATTTTACGGATGCGGACAGTGTGAGACATATACTTAAGAGAAAATGATTCAAAATCCAAAAAAATCGTACGCCAATTCCACTGTATATTTTGGTATGTTATCAATCAATTCTTGAGTAGTGTTTTTTTTTAACCCTTTACAAGGCGATTATATTTAGAGTAATGTTATTTATTTCTACAACACAACACGCCGAGAGACAGCGCGAAAGAAAATATAAAATAGAAACAGAAGGAAACGTAACGGAGAGCATTGACGACAATCTCGGAACAAAGATTTTTTTTTTAATTGCAGCCTTACAAGTGATTGATGTTTAAGTATTATTTTCTTATATCGTCGGGAAAAAACAATGTTTCAGAAGCTACAGTGAAGTGTTTATATTGAGAGAGCTTACACAGCCTATTCCATCCCGCAATAAGACAATGTCCATTTTTACCGTTACAATTGTCTAAAGATAATCGTTCACGCTATACTTTGTATCCTAAATGATTCTAGAATATATTTTCGACCAATCGGTTTTACGAACTTTTCTAGAAGACTTCCGAATTTAATATTATCCGCGATCGCTGCGAATGACACGCGCTCACGGTCCAACTTCAAGTTCCAAGGGTCGCACGGGAGAGTCTATGATTTAAACCGAGTCTCCTATCTATGGCTGTGAAACCAACAGATATTTTGCTGTTCACGCTGCTCCCTCGTTTTTATCATCGTGTTCATATGCGACGAACGAGGATCGAATTACACGCTCGTTCTTGTCACTCCAATTAAAATATGAATATTATGAAACTATGAAACCAAAATGTCTTTCGAACTTTTACTGATTAATTATAATGTAAACTGTTCGTCGACGGAATCATTGAATGGAAACGCGAAGGGTACAGCTCGAGCAGTTTGTTTTCGATCGCGCTTTTCCGTGACGCCAAATACACGAACAAAAAATATGTAAAAGCACCGCGCGCATCGAGAAAATTTAAGAATCGCATCGACAAGATCAATTTTGCATTAAGGAAGATGTAAATTTGTATAACAAAGAATATTATTGATATTGATGTATTACAATATCGATACTTTATATCTATTATTTTATATCTAATACATTTTATTTCAGTACCCAAAGTTTCTTAATATTAGCCTCGTTAGTAACACTTTTTTTGGCCAATAATATTAATATTATTGTTAACTTGACTAAATACTTTTAATTCTGATTTTTAAATTCAAGTATTTATGTATTTAGGCTAAATATATGCGAGTCATATCAACAATATCTTGTAGTTTAAAACATGTTATTTGAATTAAATATTTACTTGACAGCTATATCTAACTAAATCAATTAATATTTTTCAGTGTATGTCACGTTTAAATGCACGATTATGTTTGGTCATAAAATTCTAAGCAATACTTAGTTTACCTTCGTTGCTAGAGTGATCCATTCCTCGAAAGTTTCTTGTCGATCGCGTTTGTCAGCGGCCACGCTTCATTATCGTCAATTAAATAAAAAAGCGCGAGAGCACGTATAATATTGAATTTGGAACTCTTCTAAACCATGTCACAGTGAGGCCGTTCGAACGGTCATGCTGATGTAAAACCTACACATGTATATGTACAACGTAAGCTTCGAGAGATTGGCGGATTATATTTTAATGTAATGTATAAAAAAGAAAAAGGGAAGAAAGAGAGAGAGAGAGAGAGAGAGAGAGAGAGAAGAAAATAACAGATAAAGTATGCATGCGTAAGAAAAAGTGACAAAACCCTCATATTCGTCCTCGTACGTTTATCGACACTTATCGATAATGTAAAAAAAAAAAAAAAATTAACAAAGTGAGCACGTACTTCGTCTCTCCTCCTCATTTATTCTAGCCACGTTAAATAAATATTGTATTTATCACGACGACACTCTATACACACTGTACGTTAGGTTCACGACAGCTTTTACGCATTTAACTCGATGTAATTAGGACTGTCAACCTGCAATGTCAAATACGGCTGTCATTCTCATTGTTTGAAAACGTAAGGGTACACTCGCTAGAGACAACATATTTAACACGTATTGCATCCGTTTGATCCATCTCGACTTTATACGCTAGTACTTAGTTTGTAGACCTCCGTGGACGAGCTCATCTTCCCCTTGGAGAAAATCATTTTTCGAGTCATTCATCGAATAGATCGATCAACGATACGTTAGACGTGTGCCGTGGACGGTTTTTCTTTCGAGTCGTTGATATACATCACGAAGGTATATTGTAATATTCTGTGTTCTACGTTTCAAATAGCTCGGCGTTGACGTCTGAATAACTAAAGCTCTGATCCATCGAAACGAGGAATCAGCCTTTCATGGTGTGTCGCGGGGATCAAACGGATACTTGGGACACTTTACACCTGCCTGTGAATCTTCGAATTGATTCTGTTTCTGTCTACTTCGCCAAATGTTTGCACACTGGGAGAAAAAGGATTTGGTATAAGAGTGAAATCTCCATCAAAGTGTGAAATTATACATCGCGAAAGATGCGACGTAGATAGTTTCAGTCGATCGACGATTTTATGCTGTAAGTGTAAAGCTTCTGCTGGAAATAACGAATGGTACAGTCGATATTAGATAATAAGGATTTCGGAAATTCTCTGTAGATCGATAGGATGCGCTGTGTCGTTTGATCTGGTTGTAGATAACCGGAAATAGGAAAGCCTATTTTTGCATCGTGTGATTAAAGACAAAAAAAAAAAGGTATCTAGCCGGTTTGTATTTCACCGAATATGCATTTGGATGAGGTGTTATATAAAGCTCCAAACTATACAAAAGTAACTTGTAGGGGATGTTGACTCTGTCAATGATTCGTATAACAATGATTCATATAACATTAAAGTTTAATCACAAATATGCTTACGGATATGCTTATTATCTATTTCTTCTTACGGGCTCCTGCAGCTTTTCTGCAGGTAAATTATCATTTTGTATCATTTTATTATTTTGACTGATTTTCGCTAGATAAGGACCTCTTATTTATATTGCATAACGTACAAATTAGAACTGCTCTAAAACATCTTGAATAATGAATTAGTCATTGTGTTATACAATATGAGAAACGATCTCGATTAATTCTATTGAATCTGGCATACAGGTATTCACGATGTAATATGGAAGATCGTCCTCGAGTATCACAGTTGTATAAGTATAATCGTAAAAATCTACTTGTACTCGTGTATATTTGATAAATAGCGCAATAATAATTTGCCGACGTCACATCGGAAATCTCATCGGTATAAAAGTATCTTGCGACATACACGAAAATGTAACTCTCCAAGGAATCTTTGTAAAACACAATTAATTCCGATATGTTTATTAGACATATCTGAACGTACCTCGAATCAAATAATTCTTACAAGATTATAAAATAAACGATTGTACGAACGTACTGCTGTGAGCGATGCGCGAATCGACCAGATGCGTGTAATAAATACATAAAATGTGGGCAAACGCTTAAGTAACGTTTATTTCGACATTACGCGTAGCAATTCGAGTCGTATTGTCGATTCAGCACGAAATCTAAATTTCAATATTTAGGATATGTAGATAGCGATTCAACTAGTAAGTACCTCGGTGTGCACTGGTGCTGGTATGTATTCTGGCATAATACTTACAATTAGTGTTTACTTCTCTGAATGTTTGCATGGAATATTCTATAATCACGATCCATCGATATGTGCTATAGAAATTGATACGTTTCCAAATTTTTCGTGACATTTTCCAGCAAAGTATCAAACGCGGTGATTTAAGTTTTTCGCGAGATAGCAAAAAATTTGTCTCGTAATGATATTACATATAATATGAACGTTTTGAGTATGTTTTATTCGAATTAATCTGCGAATTACAAGATGGATCTCTTGTAGATTTTCTTTGATTCCATCGTGCTCAGATCAAAGTGTACAAAGTCTACTAGCTCGTCTCGAGAGACATTTTCTTCACGAACCTTGCGAACTAGAAGCTAGGACAGCGCATGATGCTGTTTAAATATTAAACAGCATCAGAAATATCATCCGCGCGATATCATTCTTATACGTGTCACACTAAAGCCGTAGATATACATGCACATCCAGTCACACGCGACGCACTAGGGGCATGCCTGCTTTAGCGGCACTCGAGAAGAAGAGGCAAAAGTAAAATAAAGAAAATATAACTAGCGAGTATATTCCATGTAACCCCCTTCTAATTCAAATGAAAGCTATCCATTCTTTTTTTGTAGCTACAGCAGTAAACGTTGTTACTTGAGCGATTACCATCCTTTGCCGCGAAAGCAAGAATGTACTTTTCGATCTCGTAGACCAAGAGCTAATTATTATTATTATTATAAGAAAAATAGAACTGTGTCAAGTCAAATCACGAGATGATTATTGTGTAATAGTATTATTTTATAAGCAGTCAATAATATTAATATTCATTCAAGTAAGCTAAACACCGTATCACCTCTTTCTTCGAAATCCTCCCGTTTGTGAAAAAGTCGTATATATTTATTTCGTAAGCTCGTTTCGTGTCTCGAGAGTACCTATACCTCTATTGTTATAAATAATATACATGCCG